GTTGGACTTCTGCAGCAATGACGTCATCTGTATGACATGACTAGCTTGAGATGTCATTTGAAGGAACAAAATGAATGATAATGAAGGAAACCAGATTAAGTCAATAAACAAGAAGCATCGATATCTGAGATGAGGTATTATGTACACTATTTACATTATTCGGACTATTGTCCTCATCTTTGTCTCCATATTTATTACAACGTTTCAGCCTTTCAGTATCTGTCTATATTTCCGAGATGAGGTATTATGTACACTATTTACATTATTCGGACTATTGTCCTCATCTTTGTTTCCATATTTATTACAATGTTTCGGCCGTTGTACGCTCTGGCCTTCTTCAACTGCAGAAAGAAATATAAAGGGGAGACAGGCTGCTCCCTTAAGATAAGGCTTCAAGAACACCAGAAAGCTGTAACACGAGGGGAAGTGGAAAAATTAGGCATGGCTGACCACCACCCTCTGTGGGATCAGATTGAGATCATAGACAAAGAACATCATTGGAAAATTCATAAACTTATGGAATCAGCACATATGCTAGACCACAAAAATCTCCTGAGCCGACCAAGCATAGAAATAAATACAATATGGGAACCAGTAATAAGGAGTGCCAGAGAAAAGCAATAACAACAACAATTGCAATATGAGCTCTGGTAAAAAACGGTTGCTGAAGACATTAGGTTTATAATACCCAGAAATTCATACACAGATGTCCTCACAGTGGATAAAGGCATTAGTTAGATCCAGTGACAGAACCCAAAGAGTGTGAGTTCAATACCCAGCTAAGGCAGTGGAGAACTTGGAGAGGGGAATTAACAGGAGATAACTGATAACTGACATTCATTAAACATGGCACGTGGAACTAGAACAGTCTACCCGAGTGAGCGAAATAAAGGGTTCAGTTCGACATTCCACCTGAAGAAGGCCAGAGCATACAATGGTCGAAATGTTGTAATAAATATGGCAACAAAGAGTAAGAAGCATCAAATCAAAAAAGAATCTGGAATTGGAATGAAAGAAATGACGTTGCTTACCATGAATTCATCATAAAAATTCAGGATGTGGAATTAGTAAACACTCCAGATACCATGATATATGGATCAGTTATAACAAATTTAAGAGAGGAGATAAAGAAATGAAACAGAGAAGAGGCTGTACTATAATGAGTAGTTTTGCTAAACACTGCAAATTGTTACAAAACTAAAACAGTAACCAAAGAACTAATGTTCTTAAATAGTCTTGTTAACAATTCAGAAATATCTAAACATCAGTGATAACCGCTTTCTCAGATCAATGATTAAAAATGGCTTTGAGTGAATGAAGCCTGTAGGTCTTGGCGAGGACTATCCTTCTTCAAGCCTTGTGAACTAGCACTATAGAATCACAAAGAACTGTATGAAATAACAGAAACTACTTCAACATCAGCAACAACTAAAAGAGATAGCACATGTAATGTGAAGAGAAAATAATGTCAATCAAAATGTCGATGTTCCGTGTGACTTCAAACAAAAGGTTAAAGAAACATCACCCGCCCCTCCATCAAAAAATAGCTAGTGGACTTGAGAAACCTATTTTCCTTAAAAATAGATTTAATAGAAAGATTTTATAAATTTCAACCATTACTATAATGGCCAGGTAGGGAAGAAAAGCCTAACTCAAGTTGAACTGGCTGTTCAGTCAACAAATGCCAAATGTTTCCTTTTAAGAGAATGGCTAATATTACTATTAAAAATTATGAGTACAGATACTACACTTTGATCCCACCTTGATGGCCAAAGAATGAAGAAAAGTGTAACTCCAGTAGCACTGGCTACTTAGTAAAATGAATACCAAATGTTTCCTTATAAGGAAATGGTTCGTATTACCATCATTCACACTGACCCCCCCACCCCCACCCAGTTCAATGTTCAGCAGACAGCAAATAAACTAACAGCAACTGTGTTCAGGGTGATGCTTGTGGACTTTCTATCAGTGAACACGAAAGAATGCATTCTCCTCAAGTGACTCCCTTTCCACACGACTGGAAACGTTCATGATGGTGCTGTGGTCAAAGTCCTGATGCAAGTAATTGTTTCCCAACAATCTATGGGGCTACATTTGTCTCTGATTTGTGCCATGGATGCTATACAGCCTGCTTCTGCTGCCCTAACAAATCTTGGGGAGTGTCCATCCTACATACACAACAAGAATTTGATCAACTTTTTTTTTCTTTTTTTTTTTTTTTAAATCATCTCACCCCAGACAAGGTAATAAAAGCCATGAGGATGCAAGGAGCTACTTAAAAGTGAAATAAAATAAAATAACAGGATTCAAGGTGAGAGATGATGATTGACATTGCATTTTAATTTTTTGACAATTGTTGTTAACAAGAAAACAGGAAGCTAGGAGAAAGTTCTAGAAGCAAAACATATGAGAGAAGAAACTATTTATTGATTTCCCAAGATGGGAATGATTGTAAAAGTTTTCCCTCTCTTATAGTCAGAATGCATGCTGGGATATTTTTTCTTAGCCAATAAAATGAGACAGCTTGCATTTTGACATGACTCAGTCCAGATCTGCCTTAACTACTAGACAGACTTAGTGTTCATTTAGTCAACCTTGCTTTTGTGTACAAACAAAAAACTCCTCGTTTGTGAATTCTTTTGCCTTCTTATCAATTTTGATTTATTTTAACTATTGTTTGCTTGCTTGCATGATTGTTGCCATTTCATCTTTTTGACCTTTTTTTTTCTTTTCATTGCAAACTTTATTAATTTGGATCGTGTTATTTTGCACTTTAACAATGGTTTCTAAATCATCACTATTAGCATAAAACTTACAACTGGTTACAGTAGCAATTTCAACAGTGAAATTGTAAGACCTAACTACCAATCTAGTACTGTACTTAAATTCAGAAACTCGAAGGACCAAAGAAAAAATATTTATTCTGAGTAATACAAAAATGTGGCACATGGCCGGGATGGGGGGGGGTACAGTGGAAGACTTATCTTCACTCTGTCTTATCTTAAACTTAGCTAGCCACAATTACTGACCCAAAACATACCACAGTATTCCTTACACCAAAAAGGACGCATTCTTACTTACCATTCTTACTACAACCACCATAATACTTTAAAGTCTCCATGTAGTCCTAACTAGTTGCCATGTGTATAATTTTATGGGGAGGGGGGGGTTAAAATAACAACATTTAAAAATGAAACACCAATGAATATTTACAATGAATACAATTTACACATAAGAAACTAAACAAAACAATTAAATAAAACCAAAAAAGAATAATTACCATGAAAATATTTATAGAAAAGTAATTGAAGTTGAGATATCAAAAGGTTGAATGTCGTAACCTTCTTAAACAGATTGAATTTACTCAAATTCATAGTTTGCCACAAAGACCTCTTTGAGAATTGCAGAAAGCAAAAAACAATAAAGAGAATTAGACAATCTGATATCAAATCTGTGAAAAAGGAATCACGAAAAAAAAAAAAAAAAAAAAAAATCAGGCATATTTTATTTTTCTCTAAATAAAGAATTCATTTACTTTTTAGAATTCTCCAACACACAATAAGAAATTAAATATCTGCTACTCCATCATGGAAGAGTTTAAAAAGTAAAACTGAACAGAAAATTTAGGGAATTGAAGTCGAAGCACTAATGCTTGACAAATTGACTTTTTCTGTCCATGGCCAAACAAAATAGATTCTAAAAACCTGATGTACTTTAGACAGAAAATATGATAGAAGAAACAAGGTCAGTGTTAAATCCATACATTGACTAAATCTATGCATTTCACAACACCTGATGCAAAGTGGTTGTGTGAAGGGAGGAAATTTCTTTCACCTGCTCTAGTATTCTAAATACACTTGTTTTTTGGGTTTTTTTCAAACCCCATAAAAGCAACTATTTTTCCCATCAATGGTTCTCAAACTTTTTTTTCTCTGGGCTGCATTTCCAGAATAAAAATTTGTTTGTGCCTAACCAAATTTCATGTGATAAAAAGTACATTTAAAAATAAAACAGAAAAGATAGCCACAAATTTCAAAGTCAAAACATTATCATTAATAACTCTTCTCCAATTTGCAGAACCTAGTTACTATATTCTTAATACTTGAGATAATGCAAAAATATCAGAATGATAAAATCAGTCAATAGTTATTTATAACTATTTATACTGGGACTCATGCTTGCAATTACAATTAATCCATAATAATATTTTACATTTTGAAATCATTTTTGCCATATGGATTTTTTTTTTTTTTAAACTGTTTCTAAATGTTTGATTGTCTTTCAATCATTCCGCCTCACCTGTTATCCTCTTCCATTGGACCTATGAGGTGTGTTGCGCCATTCGGAGACCAATGAACTATTATCTTATGAGTAACTTTTATCAGGGAAACAACATGATTACTAAGGCAGTTGAATGACCAAAATGAGCATCATCCCCCTTTTTCTTTCCTAATTTTCAACAAAATGAGTCTTTCCAATATTGGTATATACACACACACAAAAAAAAAATACACTGATTAAGGAAAATAAAAATCCATTACAGATGACGACTTGAAACTCCTTTACAAAACAAGTAAGGACATATTTCTTTTAAAAGAAAAAAATTACGATAATCAAAATGATTTCAAACACTAATTTTTAATATTTGTTTCTATGATTTTAAAAAGAAATTGTTATTTTTACGGCATATTAACAAATAAGTAAAATCAACCCTTTATCTCATTTAAAGTTTTAAATTATAATTTTAGCAGAGAGTATTGGTTGGGGAGGAGGGACGATAATTTTAGCAGAGAGTATTGGTTGGGGAGGAGGGACGATAATTTTAGCAGAGAGTATTGGTTGGGGAGGAGGGACGATAATTTTAGCAGAGAGTATTGGTTGGGGAGGAGGGACGATAATTTTAGCAGAGAGTATTGGTTGGGGAGGAGGGACGATAATTTTAGCAGAGAGTATTGGTTGGGGAGGAGGGACGATAATTTTTTAGCAGAGAGTATTGGTTTTTAGCAGGGGGAGGAGGGGACGATAATTTTAGCAGAGAGTATTGGTTGGGGAGGAGGGACGATAATTTTAGCAGAGAGTATTGGTTGGGGAGGAGGGACGATAATTTTAGCAGAGAGTATTGGTTGGGGAGGAGGGACGATAATTTTAGCAGAGAGTATTGGTTGGGGAGGAGGGACGATAATTTTAGCAGAGAGTATTGGTTGGGGAGGAGGGACGATAATTTTAGCAGAGAGTATTGGTTGGGGAGGAGGGACGATAATTTTAGCAGAGAGTATTGGTTGGGGAGGAGGGACGATAATTTTAGCAGAGAGTATTGGTTGGGGAGGAGGGACGATAATTTTAGCAGAAAGTATTGGTTGGAGAGGAGGGACGATAATTTTAGCAGAGAGTATTGGTTGGAGAGTTAAATAAGGTTTAAGGTTGGAATTCTTCAAAACATGATTGCATGAAAATCCTTTCCTCCTCTTGATTTTCACTCATCCAATCAAATCCTCTCCTTCATGATACATCACTGGGATTAGGGAGGGACAGGAGAGAAGATACATTTAAAAGTCAGAAAAGTGACACCATTTGTAATATTTGCACATTTTGAAATTGGTATACACTTCCGATAATGGAAAATCGGACACAGAAATTCAAAAACACATTGGAATAACAAAAGATGCCTTTCAAAAGCCAAGCAAAATATTAAAAAACAGGAAAATGTTAAAAACCAAGTGCTGAACTGCTATGTAATATCAATCGTCCTATATGGCAGTGAATGATGGACAATTTTCTCACAGATGAAGAGGAAACATGAGGCAACAGATGTTCTACAGAAGGATACTGAGAAATATAGACTGAAAATGTGAGCACCAAGGAAGTGTAAAGGAAAAGAAGAACTAAAAAGATATTTGTGCTTAGGATCAGAAAGAAACTACTGAAATACCTAAGAGATATGGGGAAAAGGGGCTTGGAGAATTTGACACTTACAAGACATACTGACAAGATCTACAGAGGAAAGCATGGATATAAGCTACCTAGTGAGTTTGTGCAAATGCATGGCAGAACAAGCACTGGGAGGGATAGAGATCAAACATTGCTTAGTGTTATAAGGAATAGGCAGAGAGTCAGGATTCCCCTTGCCCCAAAGGGTACACATCACTGAAAAGATGGACTTCAGAGATGTAGAGTGACATAAGGGCTCCTAGCATGTAAAACAGAATAAAGAAAGTTCCAATTTCAACTGATGTTGCCAGAGTTCACCTTGTATTAATGCTATCAGGAAAGACATGAATATACTTTTCCTCTATGTTCCATCACATATCTTGACAAAATTCCTTGTTACTGGCATGTCAAAATGGTTGATAGAGAATATAAAGAGAGTACCACTGGACAAATCCCTCACCCATAATTACATTAACTACCCAGGTAATAGTAATAGAAAAATGATACATTGACAATCCAACTCTCAAAAGGAGCTAGGAAGATTGATTGAACTGATTTAGGGGGGGGGGGGTTATGGCTTATCAACCCTATCATAAAAAGTTTCAAATAATTACCATGATAATGGTAATATTGGTTGAATTCTTATAAGGAAACATTCGACAATCATTGACTAAGCAGCCAGTATTGCTTTCTGTTGAAATTTATAAAAATCTTGATAAAAATCAATTTTTCAGGAAAATAGGTTTCTCAAGTCTAGTTATCACTCTTTGCAGTATTTACGTGGGTTTTTTCCTAACCTTTTTGTTTGAAGTTGTATGGAATATTAACATCTTATTCCTACTAAATTCCTTAATGTTAAGATCTGTAATACAAGTAACACCTACCTATCTTAATTTTGTTTACCCAATTTTGAATTAAATTACCATTTTTACCTTCAATAATAAATCATTGCATTGAAACAAGAACTAATTCTCAACTTTGGTATTTCCTTTATCTCTTAAATATCAGAAGAATATTTATGTGCCTAAATTCTTAAGTTGAAGAAACTTTGTATAAATCTGTAATCATCTTTGAGTTCTTTGATTTTGCTGCCAATGTCACCAAAACATCTTGGAGGTTCTGTAGAAATTCTTCTGTGGGAGGAGATTTTTGTTCCCTTGCAAAAATGAATGAAAACTACCAGAATGCAAAGAGCCACAACCTGTGACAGCATTAAGTATGATAATCTGGGTCAGGAGATGAACCCCCTCACACCCGGACCCCAGCGCCTGGCACTACTACGCAACACCTGCCCCTGCCAGGAAGATTCTAGGCCACTGATAACTACAGAAGAAATCGCAGAGAGAGGGAGAGAGAGAGATGGCAAGAGAGAGAGAGAGATAAAGTGGCACCCTATGCCTTGCCTCCACAGATAGAAGATACCAAGCAAGTATTAGTTTGTAGGGGGGGGTAGATAAGTAACATTTCCTTTATACCACCACCATCCTCCTCCTCCTACCCTGCATTATTCACACTACCATAAAACAAGAATTTAAATTCTGTACACAAACTGTAAACAAGTATCAAAGTTTTTTTTTTTTTTTGGGGGTTTCAGTGCTGAACAAACGTCATTTCCATATATTCCATATAAGTTCATTTTTAATTTCATTTTCCTTCTGTTGCTTAGCTTTCAGAGTTTCACTCCATGCAAAATTTTGTATGAAGTACAAAATATTATTTTAGCCTGAAATTTGATAAAATAGACTTTCCAGAAATTATTCACCTCAGATCTATTCTCTTAGACAATACCTCCCTACTGAACTTGAGAGTGAAAGAATTTCTTAATGTTTGCAGTTTTATCACAGAGTGTTCAACAAAACATCCCCAGAGTGTTGTAATACATATCATCAAGGAAATAAAAAAAGACTTACATTACTTCATCTAAGTGACATCTTTTCAACAAAAGAAAATGCACATACAATATGAGTTATTGGTTTGACACCCTTCCCAAAATCTGAGTGCATTTTTTTTGGTCACTGTAACAAAAAAGAATATTCTTTTTACATTGTGAAGTGTTAATTCGCAGGAGCCATGCACCTAGATTGGAATTTGTTTCAGATCTCACTGACTGAACAATATTAACAGAAATTGTGCAATTTTCAAGTGTTGGACTCATGAAATTCCTATTCCCGCAGAAGAAAAAAAACAAAAAAAGTCAATGTCAACTCTGAAAAAGTGGTATACCAAATCTCAGAATTCCTGATATCGTTCATGTTTCTGGCCTAATTATTACCAATCAACAAAATCTCAACCCCAAAATGGAATTGCTGAGACATGAGCGAGATCCAGGAATGCTTTATGTATATATAATTCCCCGGCAATTCAATACACAGATGATGTCAGGAAATCTGGTTCCAAAATATTTGAATGCCAATCAGAAACAATATCAACTGGATATCTCCAACTCGATATTGTGCCCTTTTCTACAAAAATTTGAAAAATCATTACAAAAACATTATCAGGAATGATTTCATTTTTTTCTTTTTTTTTTTTTTAGGTGTGAATTCTCACTTTTTAACAGCACAAATTATTTTTTTTTTTTTTTTTATACAGTATTTCAATTCTTTTAGGATTACTTAATGCCATGATTTGTTTGAGAGGAGATATTTGGATTTCAGTTTGAAATTCTCTGAAAGTTACTCAGATCGGCAAAACACCTGAAGTCCAGAAAACACAACCACCAAAACATTGTGATAACAACAACAAAGACGAGGATAATATTCTGGGTGTATAAATGATAACTCCTCATCACAAAAAGCCAAAATACTGTGATAATAACAACAAAGATGAGGATCTGTAAATAACTTCTCATCCCAGAAATTCATGCCGAAAAACAGAGCAATATTTCAGGAACTAACCATCACAATTTTTCCCCCCACTTTTTGATAAGATTAAAAGAATTTCAAAAAGAACGTGCCAAATGTGAGTGGAAAAAAATAGAACAGGATGTAGATTTTCTGGCTCAAGGTCCTGCTTTCCTTGGTCCACCAAAAACTTTAGTATTCACTTGTATTGTTAACCACATTCTTGTCTGTTTTTTTTTGTTGTTTTTTTTTTTTTTATTCCATTTTAATATTGGAATCTGTTACTCACTTCATCCTGTAACAAGAGCAATTTAATATTCAAGAAAATCTTCTGAAATTTATTTCTTGCTTCATATTCTAATCCTACAAAATAATAAAACTGCTCCTCTTAATTGTCATAGGGAACTTTTTTTGCCTCCTATGGCTGATACAAATCCCAAAGAGTAACTCATTGAGTAGCTTTCTTGGTCTAATATTTTCTACTGACATGATCATTGAGTGGCTTTCTTGGTCTAATATTTTCTACTGACATGATCATTGAGTGGCTTTCTTGGTCTAATATTTTCTACCGACATGATCATTGAGTGGCTTTCTTGGTCTAATATTTTCTACTGACATGATCATTGAGTGGCTTTCTTGGTCTAATATTTTCTACTGACATGATCATTGAGTGGCTTTCTTGGTCTAATATTTTCTACTGACATGATCATTGAGTGGCTTTCTTGGTCTAATATTTTCTACCGACATGATCATTGAGTGGCTTTCTTGGTCTAATATTTTCTACCGACATGATCATTGAGTGGCTTTCTTGGTCTAATATTTTCTACTGACATGAAGTGAAAAGATTATATTAAATCAATTGCTCAGGTCTGCTGCTAGGAAAGTCTGTTCTCCATGTCATGCTAGACAATTTTCCCCACCAGAATCTAATCTTTTACACCTTTTTATAAGTTTGCTATTCATCTGTGTATTGAATACTGCTGCCACAACTAATTTGGTGCTTCTGTTATATAGGTAGAGATTCTTGACAAAATCCAAAAAAGAATCTGCAATGTTATAAAGTCCTGACCTGGCATCTTAACTTCAGTCACTTTACCGCCATAATGTAACTTCCCTGTACTTTTTCTATAAATATTTTTATGGCAATTGTTCTGCTGAGCTCTGTTCTTTGGCACCTAGACTTCATGAATTTAAGCATTATACTTGGTCAGAAATTAAGAGATCATTTTACTGCTGAAATTACTGTTAATAAGTTACTTATTAATAAATTACTATGTGTAAGCATAAGTTCTATTCTAATAGTTTCTTCTCTCACACTTCTCACCAGTAAAACTCTTCCAGCCTCTTGCTTCCCTGTCAACTATGCTTCTTCAAAAATTTAATGGCTTAGTGGCTTTATCACCTTGTTTGGAGTGAAATGATTAAGAAAAAATAATCAAACCATATAATAATTATTAATGTGTATTTATTTGTATATTTCCTGTCCCATCTGTAATGGGAAGGAAGGTAAATCAATTAAGTTAGTAAATTTATGATTAATTACTTCCCTTAATAGTTTTAATCATGTATACAAATAAAATATTTATCTGCATTTAGAAAAAATTAATTCCCAAGCAAAATAAACCATTTAATTAATCAGTTCCTTTACTACTACATTT